TAGTTTGCAGCTGTGTTAATCAAATCAGGTTGGGTTTCCATTACGCGTGCCAAACGGTGCCAATCCCCTTTGATCTGACATCAGATGTGACGGGACAGTCGATATAGAGATACATTTATGTGCTGATTGCAGATAGTTGCATTGAATAGTGTTTTTTTGGGTATTTATTGCATTGTTAATGTGCCTGATATTCTGGAAACCTGCCTGTGAGGTTTTGGTGACGTGTGCGCACTGTCCGCCGGTCAGCCAAACTTCGGCTTACACCGGCTGCGCTCCACCTGCGCTGACAGTAGACCTGGTTTCAGCTGGTGAGCTTTTAGCGCACCTTCGGCGAAGCCTTTTGGCACGAAACTGTCACTGTGCCAAGCTGGATCTGTCGACACCTCCCCCTGGTGCGCCGCCACACCCATCTCAGCGCACCTCGGTCTGCCAAACTACCAAACTGAGCGCGCCTCGGGTTGCGCTGCTCGAAACTAGCTCTGCGCGGGGTTCACCACCCTGTGCCACCCTGCGCTGCGCTGGAAACTAGAGCCCCAGGTGTCTAAATGAGGTGATCAAAACACTGGACTTTTGGTATATCATATATAAATTGCAATAAGACAACAACATAAATCAAATCAATATATATACTTCTAAACATTTTTAGGTTACCGATGTTCATGTACAAAATATAAGAATATGGCAGAGGTTGTTAAATGGTCTTCTCCGTCAGTCTGCTGACTTGTGCATTGGTTGGTTTTTGTATATAAATCTCTGCTTGGCTTGGTTTCTTCTTATCTGTACACATACATGTGTAAAAACCAAAACCAATATGGCCTGTGCTCCCACAGTATTTCACTGATGCTGGTCCCCAAGGTTCGAACGCTGCCCCTTGTTCCTGGAATAATTTACAGAAGGAGCTGAAACTGTCTGAGCTGATTGCTGCGGAGGAATTTAAGTCAATTATAAAGGAGGGAGAAAATGGCTCTCTTGGTCAATGTGATTGTTCCTCAAATTCTCACTGAAATCGTTTTAGAAAATTGTTCATGTTTAATCCTTAAACTTTACTTTTCGTGTTGCTTTTTAACTGGATGTTGTGCTTGCTCACTTGTGGTGTGTCACAGTTGTACTTGGCTGCTTGTGTTTATTGTTGTAACAATGTTTATGCAGCCATGTACAAGTCTTTTACCTGGTTGAATAAAGGATATATATTATAGGGATGCACAATATTTTAGTCTCAAGTCTCTAATCGTAATGGCCCTAATTATGGTAAAGTTATGGAGGTAAAGTTTGGAGAAAAAAACATGGTTGGGTGTCTTTAGGTTTGGGCAAGTTAAGTTACTTTGGTTAGGTTTCGGAAAAGAAACATGGTGATGAAGTACTTTAAAATGACTCAAAGTTCACACGGGTCTGAATGCCGGTCTCCTGGGGAAAGTCCTGGGTTTTGTGACCCATCCACCACTCAACCTGCCTCCTTATACCACTGCTTCCTGCTTTATTTTTTACTCCCGTCATCGCATTGGATATGTGATCACAACCTTCCAAACTACATGGTTTATGCGCAGATTGCTGGCTCATCATAATGTATGATTTTGGTGCATTACATTTTGTAGGAAAACATACGCACAGTGGATGAGAACAGCCTGATTAATACTATGGACAAAACTTACAGTAACTACAACATGATTGCTTATATTCAATAGAAAGTGTCAGTGATGAATAATAAGTAACAGCATTCACTATTCAGTAATACAGCTAATACAATGACAAATCCCAGATTTGGTACAACACCAAGAAGAAGTTGAGGTTTGCCGTTGGTTAACTCCAATCCATGTTAGCAGCTGGAGTATGGCTCTTTAAGGATAATCTCCACTGGAGCATGCTGAGAGCTGCACACACACACACATACACACACTTCAGGAACAGGCAACATGCATCTGAGCGCAAGATTACCTCGACTCACCCTCAGCTTCAACTTTGTCCTAACTCCTGACTTGAGGAAACTTTGACTCTGTGCTTACTTTTGCAGCAGAACTACACAAGATGATGTTACACAAAATAGGAGCCAGCCCCAGGACTGAGGCTTTAAGGCTGGAAGCTATGTCCAAGGGAGCTCAGGTGGGGCATGCACTGCAAGAGTCATTCTGCACAACACTTTTTATCAATACGTTTCGGTGACAGAGCTCCCGTCTTTTTGCTTTGACAAGTGAGCGAGAAGGGGGAGCACGCGTTGGCAACAGGGACTGTGGAAATGGGGTGTAATTCTAAAATAAACAGTGAATATTTCCTCAGAGCAACTTTTGTTTTTGACACGCTGGGTTGTGTGCTGAGCCAATTCACTGGCACAGCGTGAATTTGTCATTCATCTTTGTCACAACATAGCAGGAGTGTCAGCATCCATCTCAGTCATTGTTTAAGTTTTGGTGAGACATGAACAAACAAATGATCCTGGCAATTATCGTTCTCTGCCTACTGACAGTAGCTGTCTGGGGGAGTGTTGGGGGGGGGGGGTTGCATCCCCTCCACTGACAACAACAGCAACAATAATGCCAAGCAGACAATTCAGACCACTTATTGTGTCCCACTGGAAAACATACAGGGGACTGAACAGAGGGCTTGATTTCTGCGCCAACGTCAACACATGGATTTGGGGTTTTGAGTCTGTGTGTGTGCAGACGGGGTTCCCTCAGAGGTCCCATGGCTTTTACAGTGTCTCAATAAACCATCTGCACTTAGGGCCTTAGGAATGAGGAGCTCTTTGGTGCCTATAAAAGACGGTCCATGCCATTAAAACAGTGCTGTGCTAAGTAGGCTCAGAGTACAGGGACTGTTGGCGCGCGCGCGTGTGTGTGTGTGTGTGTGTGTGTGTGTTTGGGGGGTGTAATAGTGTCAAACTGGACCAATCAATGTGTCCTGTGTTCTGACTCATACTCCCTTTCAGACCTCTAATGTCACAAAGGTGTGGGGTGACAGGATGACGATGTGCAGGCACCTCTTTGGTTAAGTTTCCCAGAGCCGTTCGGCTTTACCGGGCTGAAGAGTTTTTTAATCCATAAATCACTGAAATTGGGTTATGCTCCACATTCACATATTGAAAACTAGTGTATTTATAGTGAGATGAAATGTGCGTAAGGCTCAGGCTGCTCTCAGGCTGCAGAAACTTCAAAGTTGACATCAATGGTAGGCGCATATATCATGCTCAAATCTGTTTTCAATACTGATGTGTTATAGAATGAATTCACAGTGAATCAATCACTCTGAATGTGTGAATGCTTGTAAACTGAATTTGTGAACTGCAACAGTGAAAGCTAAAGTCAGGCCTTGCTTTAGGGTGCAAGAGTATAAATCTGCAAGAAAATAGATTCACTCTCTTAAAGCCACATCTTTTTTATGTTAAACACATGTATTCAGAATCACATATACTTAAAGGTATACTATGCAGGAATTGTACATAACAAAGGTGAAAGCAAACCCCAGCTCTGTCCGCTTAGCGCTTTATTTCGCTATCGTGTTTTTTTGACACTGTGTCCGTAATTTTTTTGTAGCTTCCTCTTAGATTAAGTGCTGCTTACGGTCTGGCACCTGGTTGCTACCTTTTCATAAAGTCCTGACCTTACCTGCCCGCTGTGTAGGTTCACACTCAGGAGCCTCCTGAACACAGCAAAATGAGGAAAATAAGAACTGGAGACCATCTTGTGGTGGGATCAATCCAGCAGTGAAACAGCGATCTGCAGCTTATTGGCAGAACTTAAATATAATATAATAAGTATGTTTTCTTTTGCGTTTAATCGCCTGAAAATAAGAATCACCTTGTTTTTGTTCCGTTAGAGTGAGCCATTTATATCTACATAGGAAGTGGGCCCTCTTCCACTGAGTCCGCCATGTTGCACCACTATGTCTCTACAGTAGCCCAGAACGGACAAAGCTTTTCGTGTATTAGTTAGCAGCCTAATGCTAGCATTGGAAGGTCACTGATTTTTAATGTAAAACTGCCTCATTCATAACCTCTGGGGATAATTTGGCTCCCAGTGAAAACCTCCTGAATGTCTGGATCTTAAATTATCAGGGTGATCAGACATTTGCAAGTGCTGGGCTAGCGGATGGTCTGTGACATGCCAAACAGCAATGGAAAAAACACTAATTTGTAACATGAAATTTCTTTATTCAGTTTTTTGTTTACCGGTTTTAATCACCTGGTCCCTTTAATTTTATAGAACGAGAGACCTCTGCGGTTAATTCGACTCCCGGTTAAAAAACACTCCTGAACAATGAACACTGAAGGAATTTTAAGCGGGAGTTCACGCTTGGCACATGGGAGAAGTTTCAGTTGGCTGTAATCTGCAATGCTCACTGCTAGATGCCGCTAAATCCTACATACTGCTCTTTTAGATGGAGTGGACAATAGCCCCTTTCCTACTTCCTAGCCTGCTACTACCTGCACCCTTGCTCGGACCACACCCATCTTCAAACTCCGCCTTCGTTTTGATCTTAACTACGCACCTTACTGCACCTTGCACGGTTGCGACCCTATCACGCTGACAAAATCTGTGCAAAGACAGACATAAGAACACTTGGCAAAATATTCAAAATGGTTTCTGCGGTAGTTCCTGCTACAGTGAGGTGCCACCAGGACCAGATTTTGCCATGATGACAAACACACAGACTCACAAAGTGAATCAATACAGGCAGAGGACAGAGTTTCTGCAGATAAATACACCACCTCACACTTCTAGTGGGTAATAAGGGGTGATTGAGAGGGAATGCTTTTGTAGGAGTCTAAACATAATTTGTTTATTTATGGGAAAATCCTGCATAGTATACCTTTAACATTACTACATTTTAGTCAGTAGTGAAACTGTAACTGTATAGATAGCAGTAATAAACACTCTATGGTTTAAGAAGTCCTATCCGTCACTCCCTACAATCAGCAGCAAACCCAGCAATAAAAACAGAAGGTACTGCTCACTCAACAGTGATTATAGTGTGATGTTGTGGTTTTTGGGTTGGTTTTATTTCTTTACCTGAATGAGACAGCAAATGCATCCGTAGACGGAGACTGTCCAGGAAGCTCTTTCCACACAGCTCACAGCCGTAGGTCTTCATTCCACTGTGCATCTTCCTGTTGACATAAAGCAAAACAAACATTTTAGTGTCTGGACTCAAAGCTTAATGTGCTTGATGTTTGTGTCCCTAACAAAATGTTTCTTTTTTTTTTACAGCTCTTTCAGCTCTGACTTTCAGCAGAGAAAAGATTTGGCCTTTTGCAATTTGAGAAAATGTCACACTCCATCAGTCATAACATCAGCACATAACAATAGCCATCAGCTTAACAAGCCGTCCAACTACAACACATTTTTTTTCTTTCTGCAGGGAGCACCAGACCATGACTTGGTGCTGTAAATCACAAGATGCTATTCAAGCAAAGGTATTATCAGCTACCTACATCTCAAGTGCTGCAGATGGATAAGGAGCTATAAAGTGAAATAGAATGATTTATTCAGGCAAGCACACAAGACAGCTACTTAGTGTTATGAACCATTTATGGGCCACTTTTTGACTGCTGCTCTCCAATCTATAAGGTGATGTGTGGCTTAAAGCAAAATCTGATCCGCAATGAATTGTCTTTTTACCAAATAGACAGTCATTAGGCTGTAACATAGTTTAAGCGCGCAAGGTCAGACAAGACTAAGGTTCAATATTTGATTATGTGGTAAAGGCCTCGAAGGTTAGGTAACTAAATAACATCTGACAACAGAAAGTCTAGCCCCACGACTCTCTCTGTTACGAAATCCTCAAAGACCCCACGGCTCAGTACAAAGCATATTATTCTTGAGAGATATCTGAAAGTGCTCTAAAGCAATTAAGGTGACACGAATTGCCAAACAACTGCCACAGTGCCTTAAGCCTCCCGAGAACTTCAAATACCTCGCCTTGAGTGAGGTTCACAAAGGCACACACCCACGATTGTAATGATTGTTTGTCAAGTTGGTGCTGTTTCAGATTTGGCACACTTGATCTTCCAAATCTGTTGCTCTTTCTCACAGCGAGGCTCCGAAAACAAGAGTTTCCGTTTTGATAGTAATGCTGCGGTCAGGTTGAATCAAGATGGGGATAAACACCACCCTTTAAGCTAATGAGGCGGCTTGGGTTTGATATGCACGTCTCAAGATTTGAACACATCAATGCAAAGCTGAAAAAAACACAGGCGCAGGAAAAGTGCAGGATTCTACACTCAGGTGAATGTGTGCTTCTGGCAGGCAAAAACAAGACAACGTCAAACAGAAGGATTTCATAGTCTCCGTCGACGAGTCAGGTGGCGCAGAGTGATCAGCCAAGTGCATTCTTGGGGAAACAATGCCCTTGATAAGAGATCTGCTCAACTTGGGCGAGATGACAGCCATCCATCTTAGCGTCTCTCAACAAAGCCGCAGAGGAGGAGGTGGTGCCACTCTCCCAAAACATGACTGATTGATGTCAGATGTCGAATGCAAATTGATTTACAGCTCTCTTTTGTGCCTTGAGAGGGGTAGGGAGAGACGGAGCGGGGAAGAGACCGAGACACACACACAGAGATTATAGCGGGTCTTGTGGCAATGGCTACAGGAGTTATTAAGCAATGAAGTCTGGTACGGCTTCAGTGGCTATTAATTGCTGCAAAACATCCTTGAAACCTGACAGGAAGAGAGGTAAAAAAAACCTGAGATGCGAAGAGAAAAAACACAGCAGGGTTGAAAAAGTCATGATAGCCGTTGTAGTGGTTCGAATTTGTGGAGAGACCCTGGAAACTAAAGGCAGAATGACAGCCCCTTGGCAAGCAGTGAGTGATTAAAAGGCCCTATAAATGCCAAATGCCCCCAGAAGGGAAAGAAGGACACTTGAAAAGCCAAAAAGGGAGAGGAAGTGACACAGAGAGACGAAATGACACAAGTGAGAGAGGAAAGGATACTGTTACACTGTTAGATTTCAATCTGTGACCGTACATTCAGTCCAGGAGTATTATCATGGTGTAATGTACTTGAATAAAAGATTTCCATTTCCTGTTTTGTCCCAGAATGCTCTTCCACAGCCAGACAAGGAATCTGGATGTGTTGCATTCAATCAAAAGCAGACAGAACAATACAGCATCAAAGTGTGATCAGACTGCTGTTGGTTAAACACATAGTTGGACAAATCAATAGCAGTTGCCTTACAGCTGCACTGCATTGTGGTCTATTAAGGCAACTGCCGATGGACAAACTGCCGTCTCTCCCACGCCTGGTGCAATGTCATTTTTGACAAGTCATCCACACGAATGAAAGAAACAAACAAAATGGACAAAGGAATGGAGCCAGATTTTTTTCCTTTAAGGATCACAGGTGATGTACTCACACACTTTCATCCTGATAAGGAGAAAACACACGCAAGCGGTGAACCACAACACAACACACACAGAGCACAAAGCCTTTCAAAGGCCTTTTGTGTCCCTCCTCAATCTGACCATTGTGCCCCCCAGACAGAGCACTGATAAGGTATGGGTGGACTTATTAAGGCCACTAGAAGTGGAAGCAATGCCATGTATTTTCACCGTGTTGATGAGCATAGTGCAGTGTGTATGTCTACAGCTGAGAGTGTGTTAAATTTAACTGCAATAGCTAGCACTACCTACTGAAACAGCACATTACTTGATGTTCAACAGAATGGTACCAGCACCTGTTCCAGCAATTCAGTCTATTAAAGGAAAGGTTTAGGACTAAGCCCGTCCTGTTGAAACACTAATGACGCACTTCCTTTTGGCCTTTAAAGGTCTGATTGTGTAGGATTTAGGGGAATATTTTAGCAGAAACAGAATATCATATTCAGAAACTGTTTTCATTAGTGTGCAATCACCTGAAACCAGTAATCATTGTGTTTTCGCTAAATTGAAATGAGCCGTTTATACATCCATATTGAGTGGGTTTGCTCCATTTAGTCAGCCATGTCGCTTCTACAGTAACCCAGAATGGACAAACCAAACTCTGGCTCTAGATAAGGCCATTCGCATTTCCTTCCTGATACTGATTCCAATACTTGAACAAGCCGATACTGAGTACCAACACCATTAAAACAAAAAAAGAACAGCATTACGAATCCTCTATAGATGTGAAATGTTTACCGTTATCGTTATATTGCATGGCTCATATTAAACCCTAAACTGGAGGGACTTTCCAGTTTAAAATATTGCCTAAGAGCTGACATTTTGCTCCCAGCTATCGGAATCAATACTTCTTTGCTACTCAAAAACAGTAGCTGCCACTGGCTGCACGGCACAACAACTTGCGTAGGCTGCTGTTTCAGAGCAGGGAATAAGAACTGATCTCCAGGAAAACTGTGGTTTTATCTGGGAGTGAAACTACTTGAACGTTTATTAATTAATTATACAGTATTGGGCCAGTGTGCAGACTTGCTTGCAGATACCTAATACAGCATTTTTGGCAGTATCTGAGGCATTTCCGATACTAGTATCACTATCGGAACAACTAAACTACACACTTGGCTCATAGGAAAAGTTTCAGTTGGTTGCAGTCTGCAACCTCAATGCTAGATGGCACTAAATCCTACACAGTAGACCTTGAACTGTGTTTCGTCAATATCGTATGAAGCTTCTTTTCTCAGGTATGTGCAGGTTTCAAGTGAAATTTCTTTATGGAAAATAATGAAATAATATGGAAATAACATTTTTGCAGTAGCATAAAGTGGTTTGAAAGAGGGCAAAACCCAGAAAGCCAAAACGGCTTGGCCCAGCAATGGCTTGTATCCGGCATTCTTGGTTTCCAGATTCATTCTGGTCTCGTGATGAATAATCGACCAAAGTCAAATTAAGTGCAATGCTCCAATGGACCAATCTGAAGTCCCGCACCCCTTAGTTATTGCTGCTAAATCGGACAAACTTGACAAAAAGAAACATGGCGATGCCAGTTCTGTTTAGCCAGGGTGCTGCAGTGTTCGATAGTTTCTCAACATTTGGTAATATAGCTTCTGAATGTGGCTCCTATAAGGTTAAACCAAAAATCTGTTCAAAAAATCTACTGACTTCGAGACAAGTGAACAAGGAGTGCAAAAATGCCAACTTTTTTTTCTGGGTTCTAGGTCTCATTCCCGGGGCACTCTGTTCTGGCTGGTGACAATGGCTAAAAGCAAGTGCAGATAATAGAGATGATTTTCAGCCCAAATCAGCCAACAAGGGCCTGCATTTGAGTCCGTCATCTGGTCTAATGACAGAGAGCGAGTGACCCCGACGTTTATGAATCCAAGCTATTTGTAGACTGAGAAAGGTGTGCACACACAGCTACAAAATATATTAGAATAATATGCATCATTAGGCAGCAGTCAGCATTTGAGGTGTATTCTGTACACTTTGAAATGCTTTGTGTGCTTAAGCAGAGCTAATAATACACTGTAATTCAGCTTCGACAAGATTTAATGATATGTAAAAGGATACTAAAATATATTGTCCCAGCTCAGTGATTTAGCTTGGATAGACCTCTACACACACACACACACACACACACACACACACACTCTCTCTCTCTCAAATCCCATCGTAACTGTCTGCTTTCATGTTGTGCTTCTGAAATAGATGATGAGAGGTGTGCGTGTATGTGTGTGTGTGGTGGGTGGGAGCTCAGGGAGGGAGGGAGGGTGATTTGAAACAGACTGACTGCAGCCATTAAGGAAGTTCACATAAAACTCTCTCAGGCCATTTACTCAGTTAATAATCGACTTTGTCCAACAGTCACTTTTGACAACGGCAATAAATTTTAAATTTATGTCAACAAAACATATGCTGATCACCTCGTGTGGCGTGCTTCCTCGTAAAAGATCCAGCCCAACCAAGGGCTGTCTGAACGCGAGTGTGTGTGTTTGAAATGTGAGCCGATTACAGGCCTGGGTTATTGAGCCGTAACAGCTTGCCTCGTGTAATTCAGAACTTTTTTTCCCATTTTGCCGCTGGACTTGGCTGGCCATATATCATAACTAGCACTGCATTCGGAGAAATAAAGACCCAAGCTTCCCACCTGCTCTGCTACTTGTAATCTAACACCGTTAAAAAAGTCAAAATAAGGTGATCTATTGACACTGAAACAAATAAAATAACTCAAA